CTTGGCTGACTGGGCTTGATTTTTGGCTTAATTGTTTCAGGATGCTTTTGACGTCTGGGAAGCAGAAATTGTGGGGGAGGGGATGATTTATGAGCAGCACTAAATAAAATTAAGAGAGGTTGATAACTTCAATTCTGTACTGATTTTTTTTTTTTTTTCAGTAAAAGTTTTGGGTGGAGGGGAGGCAGGGCTGTGATGAGCAGACAGAAGAGGGAAGAGGAAATGCTTTCAGAGCTCGATTTGCTGAGCTTTGTCTTAAAAGCACATCTAGCTGAAGCGCCATGAAATGCCGTGCTGACCTACATCCTTAGGAGACAGATTTCACCACTTAACTCACTAAGGCCAGTGCCATCTTCCACTGCTATTTGTCAGGCTGCTTCTGAGGGCTCTTTCTCATCTTCTCCCGTCTGTCGTTGATGTCCTGGCATTCCTGCCTTGTGACTGCTATAGCCAACCCACCAGAACCTGTCGTATCACAGTGAGTTGTGATGGGATGCTTCTTTTATGCTTCTTTTGAAGGCTGTAGCTTTTTACTTTTCTTTTTTTTCAAGAGTCTGGCAACTATAATGCCAAACCACCCACGCTAGGAGACAACATATGGCAGCTCCTGTGAATTAGCATGCGGCTAAGTAACACATCACCTGGTGTTTTCACAAAGGCTCCAGCCCTGGTAGCTGGGTGCGGAGGTTCTGGCCACGCGTCCACCTCCCCGTAGGGCTCTAAGCACAGCCTTGCAGGCTGTTACGAATTATGTGTTAAGGCTGTTTTTGACTTTACAAAAAGTCTCTGATTTGCTGTTACACAAAGATGTAGGCAAGATAATGGCTGGTTTGTGCTTACATGCATGCATGAGGTATACGTGCAGTCTGAGATTTACAGGTGTGCGTCTGGGCCTGTCTGCTCCCCCCCTCCTTCCTTCTGCAGGAATCACCTGCCTACAAATAACCTGTCCATACTGCTTTACATGATTGCAAACTGTTCTGCTTCAAACTTGATAGACCAAATAGCATTCCCAGGAAAGCAGAGCAGCTCGGAGCCTCAGAGCTGTGCTCCCTGCCGCAGGGCTGCATGTGCAGCACACAGCTGAGTGGAACAGGCAGGATTCAGGGAAGGAGAGCGTGAGACCTGTTCTCCATCTCACAGATATTTGTATACAAGACTGGATTAATTTCCAGAGTGCCGAGGTGATTTCATGAATCCTAGGAGCAGTTTTGTCTGTTCAACTTGTGAACAAAAGAGACGGGAGAGAAATTCCTGCTGTAAACAATAGCAAAATGTCAGGAGCAAGACATTGTGGGGAAAAAAATCCTATATTGTTTTGTCAATAAATTATTCTTTCTCCTACATAGATCACAGAAATGGGACCTTACCCTGCAAACAGCAATATTTGATACCCCAGGCAGCTTATTCTCAGCTCACACTTCACTGAATACTGATCGATTATCCGTGGCTTAACCAAGCCTTCTCATTTCCTGCCTGCCATTACTGCGCTCAATCAAGCCGACGTGCTTTGTGGCCTGCCTTGTGCACAGAGATAAGCCATCAAGGCATGTTTCTATTAGAAAAGCTCTTGTAGATGGAATAGTCATTAGGTAACACTCAGGGGCTTAAAGGTTGCGGGGCTTTGTGTTGGTTCAGGTTAAGAGGGCAGGACGGAGCAGGGCTGCTTAGGGGTCCTCATGTTTGGGGGATGGAGGAGCGTGTTGCCGTGCTTAGTGCTCCTATTCAGCATTTGCTTCTTGCAGCATGTTGGTAGCTCTCACTTTTTGACATTTCTACTGCGCTTGCAAGAAGTAATTGAGATAGCTGTTAATGTGCATGTGTCTAAATTAAATAATCAAGCTGCAAAAATAACATTCATCTGTAGTAATGACCTTTGTATTTCCAAGCTGAATTTCCTCGGCTTACAAACAGCTGTTCAGGTTTCTTATTATTTAATTAGAAAGCAGCCTAGAAGATACCCTGATAACGTGGCATTGCACAGGCTGTGGCAAAGTGGGAAGGAAGGGGACCCTCACTGTATTTCTGTAGCTCCTCGTTGCCCAGCGTTCTCATCTCTGTTCCCTCACTCTCTCTGCCCAGGGGATCTGGCACGACTGCTCCCCATTCCCCACCACTCACCCTCCTCCTGGAAATTAATAAATGTCAGAATTGAGTAAGTGTTGAAATACTTGTATAGCAGGAGCAGAAATGCAGGCAGTGATTCAGCGGGGACGGCTGCACGGGTCGATAAGTGGAGGAAGTCAAATTACACTGGGAGTGGAGCAGGCCAGTGCTGCGTCTTGAGGCATAACTAGAGCTGTTTGCATGGGGGAAAATAGTTTTCTGGGAGGGCAAACACTGTCCCAAATGGAGTGAGTTAATCTGCAGTGTTAAAAATGAATTAAGTTGTTCATTTCAGCTGGTTTTGAGTGGAGATTCTATGAGAGCTTTATGCTACAATGCATGAGACATTTATTTTGATCACTGAAGTTGCTGTTAAAATATTTAACATCTACTACAATAACATGAAGACCCTTGGTAGCTTAGAATTAATCCTGTTTTCTTTTTTCCCCATGTTAAAAAATCGATGAAAACACGTTTGAAGGGAAAGATGTTCTTTTCCTTGTTTCCATTTTGCTGTTTGTTTCTTTGAAATAGCTCCTGCTCACCGGCCCCAGCGCGCCCATCTGTCAGCTCCAGCATTTGGTGTATTGCTTCCAAAGCTAGTTGTGATTGAGCATGGTAGCTAAATAGGGCAAGTAATGAAGGATGCTGCTCAAATCCCTCGGAGAGAATCTGCAGGACATCTGCGACCGTTTGCACGCTTTGGTTACTCGTAACGCCGGGGAGAGGACATGAAATCTCTTCAGATGTGAAGCGCAATGTGTCAGAGCTCTGTTTTGAAGTGTTTTATAAGAAAACTGGCACCTTGGAGGTGTTGCAAATGCTGTGGAAATCTGTATGTGTGTGGCTTTAAAGGGGACCTGCAAGATTTAGTTCCGCTCCGCACCCTTAAAGGAGGCCTTGATTTGTAAATGGTTGAGCAGATGTTTGTGCGCAGGGATGCCTTAATCCATTTACAGATTTGCCTTGATCTTGTTGGATGTCCAGAACTGCATACTTAAAGCAGAAAAAAGGAGCTGGGAGGGAAGGGAAAAAGGCCAGATGCAGCAGCAATAGGACCCCAGGTGAATTCTTGTGGAGAACTGCAGCAATGGGCACTATTTTCATTCAGGTGGGAGTTCTGTAGCACCGGGAATCTATTTTGGGCTGAAACAGACACAAGAAAGCTCTTGCTGTTTGTGGTTTCTGCTATTCCGGATTCAACGTGCAGCTATCTGCAGTGTCAGTGTGTAATGGCACGAATAACACAGTCACACTCGATGAGTGAGGGCCTGCCTGCTCTTTTGTGTGCACGTCCTTGTGAAATAACCAGCCTGACACCTCAGGGCAGCACCCACAGACCTCTGTGTGCTGACGGAGGCTCAGGTTGTGGGTTTAAGAAGGCTTATTGGCTTGTTGGCTAGGAGAGAACCCAACAAAACTGAGTTTTGTAGTCTTCCTTCATCATGGTTGCATATGCACAAGTGTTTGGGTCTCCTCTGCAGTGCTTCCCAGTGCCTGCTGTTGAAAGGCAATGGGCTGTAGTGGGGTGAATGGAAGCTTGGGGTCCTCCTGCTGGGTATAAGCTGTCCCTGCCTATCCTGCTCTGTTCAGCCTTGGTGTGCAGCACCATTTCTGCCTTCCAGACTTTGCCTGTTTGATTTCTTCCGTGCATTAGGCAAGTTGTTGGTTTTTTTTTTTGTCTTTGCCTGCAAATGTGCTGTTAAACACCCAGAAGTAAGTTGGGGTTTCCTCAGTGCATCTGGTGTGATCCAGAGCGTTTTGTGCACAGCAGCACGTGTGCTGGAGTAATGCAGTAATTTTGTCTGGCACAATGCTGCCACTAGCAGTTCTTGTGTGGCATTACACGTGTTTTTAATGAAAGGCTTCGAGGAATGTGGACGTAGTGGAAAGATTTTCGTGTTTATTGAGCGTTATTGGTGGAAATATTGCACTAACGTGGCTGATGAGGACAGGAACAACAGTAAGAGCTTTCTGGCCCAGTAACCTATTAGCAAACTGAGAGGTAGGGGTGAGAACAGAGTGATGCAGAGAGCTGTGGCCCAGAGCCCAGCGGTGGTGCAGCTGCCTCCTTTTCTTTGGGGATGCCCCTTTCCCTTTAGGCCTCCCTCCGACTCGTTGGGTGTTTGGGATTAGCAGGAAGAAGTGTGACTAGCAAGGGCATCAGAGATGGACTGAAGCAAGCTGTCGTAACTGGATTTAAATGTTCCTTTGAAGTGATACTCAGGCTTGGTTCCTCCTAAGAACAACGAACTGATAGCTAGTTGGTCAAAAGCAGAAGGTGCTCCTGGGGAAGATACGGTTTTATGCAAGTTTTGCTGTTGGCTATCTGGTACCACTTATGTTCCAGGGAGTCGGAGCCTGTAATTATTGGGGTTGAAGGACAGCATCCTGTTTCCTGTTTGTTGGTGTCTGAGAGTTAATAAGGAACTTTTATGATGGAATCTGAAACCATCTGTCCTCAGTGTCTGTTGGTTGCAGCTGTAAAGTATGGTGGCATTGAATTGTGCTGGTGTTGGTGCTCTGTGTCGGGCTGTATGGCTGGCTGGTTGGTAGGAACAAGCTGACTGGGATTGTGCTGCGTGAGGCCACAAGTTCCAGCCTTTTTCCTGATCCCTTCCTTTTCTTGTTTAGTTTTTGTGAATGTATGCATTGTATTTCTGGTCTGATGCAGAGATACAGCTGCGTGAGAATGGAGTAGGTTCCTGTCTTCTGAAATTCAGTCTGTCATAAGCATGTTGCCCTTGTTTCCTGGCCATAGAAGTCTACTTTCCTCCCTTTTGAGCCTCACCTCAGTCGTTCATCAGTGTGAAAAGAAATGCTGTACTTTGGAAGACTGTGTCAGATGCAGCCTGATTTCCTTTTTAGTAATGCCTCTAGACCTTCTTTTTCAGAGTAAACGGGACCATCTCCTTATGAATGTCAAATGGTACTATCGCCAGTCTGAAGTCCCAGATTCAGTCTATCAGCATTTGGTTCAGGACAGACACAATGAGAATGGTAAGTTAGGCTCTCTAGAGTAAGGCCTTTACTTGTTCTCTGAATTTTAAGTCTGAAAAGCAGTGATGCTTTTGCATATGGATGTGAAGGAAAGACTGCTGATGAGGACCAGGCATTAGAAGATGGGTGATGGTGTTTATTTGCCTTGTTTGTTCCAACCAATGTAAGTCCTGTAACCACAGCTATAATCGGATGTGTTTCACATATACTTAAACTGTATGGTCCTATGCTAAAGTCTTAGAGAATAGAATGCAGCAGTGGATCCTTTGTAGCACCTTAGTTGAGTTTCCTGCTTTTCTCTCTGCAAAAACAATTGTGTTCTTTGGTTTAATAGCAGCAGGGGAGGAAACTTAAGTACATATTCCAGTGTCATTTATCTCTTGCCTCTAGGGGAGACATAACATTTCTACTGTAATTGGTGAATTTCCTTGAGGCAACAGTTAAGGTTCTGAAGATACTCTGAGGTGAATAGCGATGACAAAATTGATGCTTAAAATGTGCAACGCAGCATCTTTTTGCTACGTGACAATATAAAACTGAGCATATCTTCTCCTTTCTGGAGGCATGAAGGATATTTGGCCTGTGCTTTAAGCAAAAGCTGCACGAACCTAACTCACTAATTTCTTTACAACTTCATACATGGGGATTATAAACACATTGTCAGAAAGTGATCATAACTTCCCTTCAGCGGTTCAGATACAGCAGGGAAATTGGCTTTCAAAAATGGGTGCCACGTTATTTCCCTACCTTGCAGGCTGCATAGAGCAATTGGAGTGTTTGCTATCCTAGCACTGAGAGTTCTGTCTGAGGAGCATCCTCTGACCTCGAGCTGTGAGAAACACTTGCAAGATGGTAAAGGTGGATGCTTTCCGTTTGTAGCTGATGTGTTGAGGTTTCTTGTTTTTGCTTTCTGGCAGACTCTGGACGAGAGCTTGTTATTACAGACCCAGTTATCAAGAACCGAGAGCTCTTCATTTCAGACTACGTCGACACTTACCACGCTGCTGCCCTCAGGTAAGCTGCAGAGGAAGTGGTGCAGCATCTGTGAGCTGGATGAGAAAAACCTTTCTGAGAGAGAGGAGCCTTTCCTGCTTTGGTTGGGGATCATTAGCATACTGCTCAGCTTTCTCCTCATCTCCTGCAGTAATTAACTTGTGTTATCTGTTCTCGTTCAAGAAGGAGCTGTAATTCTACAATCTCATTTTAATCCCAGTTAATCAATGTTGCTCAGAAGATATTGTTTCCCATCATTGCAAATTTAGATTATTGCCAGCTCCTGCAGAAATACTACCCTTCCCTCCTCCGTGTTTGATTTCACCATTAACAATAGCGTCTCTTTGGAAAGTGACTGTTAGCATGCAGCCCTGATAAATTGCATTAAAGACTTTGCTCTGAGGCGCTTGTCATTGTGGAAGCTCAGCTGAGAGCTCCATTAAAAGCTGGCTGCACAGACAGGAGGTAATGGGCTCCTGCATTGTTCCCTGCACGCTCCCCTTCCCAGGGGGTCGCTGCCCTCTTTGCCCACTAAGAGCTGAACTGACGTTGCTGACCTTTGGCTGAGCACAGGGATGCACCATTACTTCATGTTGCCAAATAGGGATCATGAGGCATTATTTTTAGCAGATTTTCAGCGTGCCAAACGTGCATGGATATTGTCAGAATGCAAATTGAATAATCTCTCTGATAATAATGCTCAGATGGTGTTTCACCAGGACCATCTGGAGACATTTTCTTTGTTCAGAGTCACTTTGCTGAAGCTGTTAAAAGACAAACTTGCAGCAAATTCTGTTACAAGGGGGGGAAGAAATGTTTGATTTGCATATTAGAAGATGTTTGATGAACTTGAAACATTCCAGTGATGTGCTGTAATCCTGTGTGATGCCACAGCACAGTCCTTGTGTTGCAGAATGCAGCCATCCTTGTCAAATCAGTGGGCTTGGAAAGGAGTTAGCAGGAGGTGGGCTGGCCTGAAGGAACCAGCCTTGGGAATCTGATTGTCATTTAAATACGGAGAGACTGAGCTGTGTGGGGAATTGCCATGGGGATATTCTAGCTTCAGTTCTGTGTTCCTGCTGTTTTCTTGCTTAAAGAGAAAGGTACAAGGTGGGGTTTTTGTATACCAGGACAACTTGGAAAATAACCTTTTCTTCTTCCTTTCCGAAAACAGTGAAGGATGTTCTTCTGCATTTTCCATTCTTTTGTTAATTTTACATGGCTCATAGATGGCATCATGTACCTCTGCAGGATAAAGGTTTACTTCTGTTGATTTTATTTAGCAAATTGTAATTAATGCTTGTAAGCAAGTTTTGGTGTGCAAGGCACATGAGGGTAATTGCACCCAGGGCTCTTACAGTTGGAGGGCATACAGCAGCAGAGTGCATTGGGATGCCTGGAAGCGAGGTTAACTTGAAATTCTAGTTTATTTTCTATGAAATGAGATTATTTCTGTGCTCTCTGCAAACAAATGGGTCTGGTCACACAATGAGTTGATGACAAACTAGGAAATAAAATCAGTGACTGTAACTTCCAATCTTCTGCTCTAACCAGCAGAAAGAGCTGGATGCTCGCTGGATGCTCGCAGATCCCCTCTAGTAATTTGTAGTGCAACTTCTCTGATGCACTGTCTTGCTTTCCTGAATGTAGATAATACAAGCTTATTTGGCCAACAGTTACTATTGACTGTCAGGTAACTTAAACTTTACCTTTCATGTGAAATACCAAAAGAAATATCCCTTACTAGGGGCAAACTGGGGAACTAGGTTCAGGCATGGAGGATAAAACAAATGCTGGTGAGCAGGTTTTTCTCAGTGTTTTTCTGTGGGAGATCTCCATTATGGACCCTGTTAACTTTCCACTACAGCATGGCATGACACAGGCAGCATTCGCTGTTGCTTTGCCCTTTGCCAGAAAGGTAATTGGCTGAGAATTACAGGCCATCACAGGGACAGTGGTGTGCAGCCCCAGCTCTCAGGGTAGCCAGGTGGATTCTGTCCTGCTCACCTTGCTGGTCCTCCTGGTGTTTTTCCCTCACTTTCAGTGCTTGAGGTTGTGTGGGAGAGTTTGTCATGAAGCAGTTTGCTGTTCTTGCTGTTCTGTCGTTTGTTTTGTGTACTTGAAAGGATCAAACCAATTTTGCAGTAGTCTGAAAATGTTCTGAACTGGAAGCTTGTGTGGCTTTCTGAATAAAAGCCCAACTTCCCAAGCCATGTGGGCAGTAGAACTTCAGAAGCTTCCTTAAGAAGAAAAAAGCAATAGAAGGACTGCATAAACCTTAGAAAGAAGGCATTTTCATGATTGTGTTGCCAGGGCAGGCACTGTTTGTTTCTCTACCAGGTGGAGGTGGGACTCTTAAGGCTGAATGGGAGTTAATGAGTGTGCTGTGTAGTCTGACATGCTGTGTCTTCCATTGCCACCGCGGGATGGAACTGCATGGGTCCTGTTAAAACAGGCTTGTTTGTGGCTTTTGCGTATGAGAACTGTGACTCATGCACCGATTACCATGGTGTTTAATTAAAATAACTTATTTACAACAGAACTCTAATACCATCTTCCCTCTTTCTTGCAGGGGAAAGTGTAACATCTCCCATTTCTCTGACATTTTTGCTGCTAGAGAGTTCAAAGCGAGAGTGGATTCATTTTTCTACATACTGGGCTATAATCCAGAGACGAGGTAAGAGAAGTGACTTTTCAAGGCATCCTTTACCACAGATTTGAGCCTGCAGGAACAGGAAACCTTTCAAAGGGGAGAAAAGCTGAAATCAAGCAGGATGCTGATAGGAAAGTGGGGTAGAGGGAGTGTGAAGGAGAAGCTGCCTGTTCCTGCTATGTTTTTTTATACAAGTAGAATTTAATATGTATATAAAATATTATATGTCCATGTGTGTATACATATAAATAGTGCCTGATAAATACTTAAATACCCAATTTAGATCTGTGGATTTATTTTTACGGGGTGTAAGCAGTAGCAGGAGTTGTTAGGGATCTTGTTGAGTAAGTGCACATTGTGGAAAATGCTCACAAGATTCGTGTGTATCTTCTAGTAAGCACTGCTGAACTGCTAAGAAATCACACTGAGAGTTTTTAAATGTGGAAGATGTGCATTCAGATGTAATTGCCCCTGTAGGATTCCTTACCAGTAGCTACTTGGTGCTTTGCTGGCCTTGAGTGTAGTTGAGGTAGAGAGGGAACTTTTTTCTAGCAATTGAAGCCTCTATGAAGGAGGTTTGTTCAGCACACTCTTCTGGTCCATGGAGTCCTTGGAGTCTTGCTGGGTGTTGTCTGAGCTGCCTTTATCAGCTAGGCTCACACCTTCCTTATTCTCAAGTCCAGATGCTTAGTTCATTTTCATCTGCTTAGTTCTTTAACTCAGAGCAACCTTACAAGCCCTGTCCTATGGAGTTTGCTATTTAGGGGCATTTTCTGTGTGTGCTTGCCTGTAAAATTGATGGAGGTTGGTGAAGGGCTGTGCTGTGCTGCTGAATGCAGTATAGTTTCAACACAGAAAACACAATTACCTTGTGGACCTCTATTTCTAGTGATACTGTCAAGGACAACAGTTACTTTAATTAGATAAGCATACAAGTAATAAATAAATGCATTGTTCTATTGTAGATGAATGATTTTTAATGGAATGTAAATCCTCTTGCTCCAAGGCGTAGCCTGCCACTAACTGCTTGCAGTTGTAAAGAAACTCTGTGTGTGTCATTACATAATTGCCTATTTCTGAGGTTTCCTGTACCTTACTCTGAAGTGTCTTAAGCCATCGGTATGTCTGAAGCAGGATATTGGATTAAGTGTAATCCTTGAATTGATTCAGTCTACGTTGATAGTAACTTTTGTCAGTATAGGTCCCTAGGAGGCAATCCTGCTAGTGTATGCTGCTGAGCTCTGGGGATGAAAAAGCACGTCAAGTCCATGAATATCTCACAGTACCTTATGTTAAATTGCTTTTGTTAATGCTATTTGTGTGTTTTTTTGGAGAAGTCCAAAAAGACCAAGTTTGTTGTGGTGCATCTCTGATGCTCAGCGTCACACTGGACCCCTGTTTTAACTTCATCACTTCTCAGTGCATTTTGATTTTGAGGCAGAGAACAGTAAATGAACAACTTGCACTGGTGTTGGAGTTTGCTGTTTAATGATTGCAAAATGCCATTTGTGCCAGAGCTGTCAGGCAGTTCTAAACTCGCTTTATGTGGAAATAGCTGTTAATTCTGCTGAGTATTTCTACATAGAGAACGTCTGAGATCAAAGAAGTGACAAAGCATTGCGCTTAGTGCCCAGCTGATTGCTCAGAGCAGCCAGCTCTGTGTCTTTTCTTTGGTTGCAGCCATGCCTTATTAAGCTTGTTTTGGGCTCAGGACATTCAGAGTAAGGCCTGAGTTTGGCCCATGCTGAACTGTTTGCTACTGCATTACAGCACATGCTGCTTTACTGCTGCCTTCTTCCAGCTGTATTTGGCTTTTGGAAGTGGAAGCATCCTACCACAACAACAGAACTTTGTCTTGAGCTTGATCTGACTTTCTCCTCTGGTGTTTCATGTCACGTGGTGAACATGGAAGGCTTTTTTGTGGCGAAGCATGGATGGATGTGTTACAGGGACAGCTCGGGATATGGCTGTGAATCCCTCCCAGCTGCACTGCAGCAGTGTGGGACAGGGTACCTTCTTAGGCCAAGCTGGATTGCATTACGAAGCTGTGTTTCCCTTTGAGTGCTTTCAATTTGTATTGCACATGAGGTGCTGGTGTTTCTGTTGGGCCTCTTGGTGTGTTGGGAATCCGGCTACTTGCAGTGCTTTGGTGTGCTAAGATGTCCCAAGGCCTGGATGTGAAGGAAGCCCTATGTGTCTGCGGGTGACTTCTCTTCGCAGGCGATGGGAAGCTGGTGTTGTGCTCTGGATTTTGGTTACACTCTTCAGTGATCCTCACTTGGGTTCAGTGGTTGAATAGAAAAGTCAAAAGGAGGGTTGACACCTTGAGCTGAGTGTTAATCATCTTGCAGGCAGGTGTGAGCTGTGTTCATGGCTCTCCATTGCGGAATATCTCCTCTGAAGGGGCAGCCAGCTGGGACAGAATGTTCTTTTTACATTCAGTCTTTAAAATAATTTGTTAGACAAGGGGGATATTAGAGAAGGGAGCCGAGTGAGAGGACCTATAAATCTGATTACTTCATTGTCTGCAAGGAGAATTCTATTAGAAGCCTGAATCAAGTTTTTGTTCCTTCTCCTGTCAGTAGAAAACACGGCAGATGGAATACAAGTTTCAGGCCTAGGAACAGATGAGAAAAGTGTGTCTTAGGAAGCCAGTAAGGATTTGTGTGCGATTTACTGAACGCCCTCCTCTAGAAAATAATTGAAGTTCAAGAAGAAATTTACATCCACAACCAAAATGCGAACAGACTAAAAAGGAGCAGGGAGCTCTTGTGTTTCCATTCCTCTGGTTACATTTTAGCAGTCAGAATATTCTGATTCTATGTGTGTTGTGGTGCCCAGGGCAGTGAGAGGGGGTGAGACAGTCACACCTATCCATCCTTATGTCTCAAAGCACAGCCTTGCAAGCGTAATTGGAACTCATTTCACTTAGTAGAGCATTATGACAGTTTGTGTCGTGGTTTGTTTACACAAGGCAATTTCTGCAGCATATATTAAGTGCAATTTAGAAAAAGAAAAGAGTTTAGCGATTTTAAATACCATCAGGAAGGTGTATGAAGTGCAGGTCTGTGTGTATGGTATGCTCCCAGGGCAGGGAGCAGGAGGTGCTGAGCTGTGGTCGTTGTGCCTGCTGGCTCACAGCACCCTATGACAGCCTGTGCTGCACGTTGGCTCCTTGTGTCTATGAGGTTATCTTGGATGAAATAATGGCAGACAGCTTTTTCTCAAGTACACGTTGTCAACTCAAGCACAACAAAGCAATCCAGAATGAGAAGAAATGAATCCAGAAATGCCTTTTGGCTGTCGCTGAAATAGAGGCTCGGTACTTCTGTGCTCCTAAATCTTCCGACTTAGAAGTGCTCTGCAGGAAGGGGCTGTGCAGAATGTATGGGGCAGCTATGTTGTTCCTGTCAGTAGGTGGGGAAATGTGGTCAGTCTGCCTGTAAGTTTGCTGCCTTTCTCCTTTTTGGCAGAGGCTGTGTTTGAGCTAAGTCCATCTTTCCTGTATGCCAGGGCCCAGATCCTTGAGCCGCTCAGGGAGGGTCCAGCAGGTCCTGTAGGTGCATGGTAGCTAATGCTTGGTTTGCTTGGATTGGTTCTGCATCCTCAGGATGGGGCAGGGGCACAGGGTGGGCAGCAGGAAGCTTGGGGTGGCAGTAGGGTGGGAAGACCCACAGGTGTATTCACCTGGGGGAGGAAATCTGTGATGGTTCGTGGCCTGGTTCGCTTTGCTTGGTCTGAGTTGTTTTGTTTCTAAAAGTTTGTAATCACCAAACTTTTTGTTCCTTTGTAGTCTGGAAGTAAACTCAAGCATCTGGTCTGAAGCGGAGGCAGGGATTCTCATGAAAGCATTTTATGCCATGGGGGAGAGGGGTACGATTAATTTCTTGCACATACATAGCTAAGAATGTTGCTCATAATCATTCTAACGAGCAGGAATGGAAGCATGCAGGAGGAAGTGTCAGCAGAGCACCAGGCTGGGCAGCTCGTGGGGTGATGGCATGGCTGTGCTGCTGGCAGTGCTGCTCCCAGGCTGTCACAGCTGCAGGGACAGGGAGAGAGCAAAGGCAAAACGAAGGGAAGTAGGGGTAGAGCGAGGGAGAGCGAAGGGGAATCAGCGTGCTGCTGCATTTACACTGTGTGTCACAATGTGAAGCTTGTGTCACTCATATCTCCAAAAGCCTTTAAGCTTTTTAATCGCTGCTGTTTCTCAAAAGCCAATCACAAACCCCAATTTAAAAAAAAAAACCAGCTCTTGAGGCGCGTCTCGGGCTCAGCGCGTTGGCTGTCCCAGAGCCCCTGGTGAAGGCCCCACTTCCCTGCACACTAGCTTGGCTGGCGGAGCTGCAGCCTTCTCCTGCTGCATGCACGGCACCAGCGGGCTGAGATTGATTGCGTGGGGAGCGGCGTGCGGCCGAGGGAGGGTCACAGCACATGCTCAGTGCCGGCAGTCCGAGGGCGAAGTTTCTGCGTTCTGCGTGCAGGCTTAGGTCATAGCACAAGCTCAGTGAAAGCTCGCTGAGGTCTCTCAGCCTGCATGTGCCTCCATTTTGAGTTGGTAGAGTGGAAAAGGCAGAGTTTGAGCTGTTAAGTAGGAGGTTCAGGAATACATCTAAACCCACCAGAGCCTGTCATAGTCATGGATGATCCATTCAGCCCCTGCAGGTAGGCTGCATCACTCTGGCCTCCCCTAAGCAATGCTGATTTTTGCTGTTATTTGTGACTTCTGCAATGTTTATGAAATCATGTCCTTCTTATTGCATGCTCCTCAGAAGCTTGTAATCCCACCAGCTTTGCTGCACAGCTCTGCATGAGGGCACGGAGCAGGGGATCTGCTGGCGCAGGGGTGCATGTAGCAAAATGCTGGAGCTGTCTGCGCTGACGGCTTCTCTCCCCCCCCCTTTGATTTTTTTTTTCCCCCCCTCCCTCGGTGCTGCAGTTTGCATTTTGGCCGTGCTGTCTGCATGCCAGCCTCATGGCATCTATGCTGGGAGCTGCCCAAAAGGGGATGTCTGGGGCCTGCA